ATGTTAGTTATAATTCTGGCCGGGCTTGTAATAATTCTAGTCTAGCTTTTTATAATTCTGGCCTAATGATCTGCATAATTTTGGTCAATTTCAGCATTATCCCTGACATTTATTGATAAAAATAAAGTATTAAATAAGTTTTGATTTCAATTACACTTTCATGGCTTTTCATAATTAGATCCAGAGATTTATTCTAACCACAGTAATTTATTAAAGATATCCAAACAATAAATATGTAATCAATGTATTATTTAATAAGATATAATTAATATATTATTTGATAAAAATAGATTTTTATATACTGATGATATTGCTGTTATAAATGAGCAAGGTAAGTAATATTTCTTTTTTATTATTCATAAATAATTTATTATTAATTATCTTAAAAATTAATCAATATAATATATATATTTAAGAAAAATAAATATTAATTAAAATATTTTAAAACCTTATATTTTTTAATATAGATTTTTTTTTGGTTATTTCTATAGAGTTGAAAGAAAATATAATTTTATTCGATAATATCTAATACTATTATAGTTAGTATTAACTTAAAATATATACTATTGAAATATCTTTTGATTATAAATATATTTTCAATAAAGTAATGATATATAAAATATTAAAAAATATATTATATATTAATTAAAAAATCTAACTTATAAAAAATAATTATTAATATATGATATAAAGTTTAAAATGAATAATAAAAATATATTAATAAATTTAATTAATATTAAAAAAAAATATAAAGTTTTAATTATTATATATTTAATTAAATGATATTATTTTAATAAATATTTATATATTAAGATTTTATAAAATTGATTTATTAATTATTTAAAAATTGCTATATTAAAATTTATAAAAATTTTATTAAAGCAAAATAAAAATGGCGTGATTTTAAAATAGAAATAAAATTCTATAAAAATAATTTTTTTTGTAATAATAATTATATTATTTTGTATTTCTTTTAAAAAATTTTATTGTTTTTATCTATATAATATAATAAATTAAAGTTTATTACTTATATAACATTTAAATTGTTTTTTGTTGTTTTTTTTAATAAAATACAATATAAAGTATATAAATTTTTAATTAATTTGCAAAATTATGTTTATTATATAAATAATTCAATTTGTTTATATTTTTAGTTATGATTTTTTTATATCAAAAATCTTACAACCAATATGATATAATTGTTTTTTATTTAAAAAAAAGAATTATAATTTTTTATATTCAATATTAATAAAAAAATAGATATATCTCTTCTTAATCAAGATATTTTAAAATATTTCTAACTATAATAAAATTATATAATATATTGTAATTAAATTTAAAATAATAAAAAAAATTTTTATAATATAATTTTTTATCTATAAATAATATTATATATTATATATTTTGTTTAATATTCTATTATACAGTATATATATTATAAATCCTTTAAATTTTATTAATTATAATACTTTAATTATATACAGTATATATATATATATTTATTTAGAAAAAAATTTTTAATTATTTTAATATATAAATTTGTCAAATAAAAATTTTTAAATTAATTAGATCAATTAACTTTTGTTAAAAAAGTATAATTTTTTTTAATATTTAAAAAATTAAATAAATTAAATAAATTTTTTTGGATTTTATAATTAAATTTTTAAAAATTTTTAATTTTATCAGTAAAAAGCTATAATTGTTTTAATTAAAAATTTTTAAATCAATATTTTATAATTAAATTATTAATTAATTATCAATAAAATTTTAATTTTTTTATTTATGAATCTTAATAAATATATATTTAAAATACTATTTGATTTAAACAAATAATTATTAAATTATAAAAAAAAAAAATTTACTTTTTTCAGTTTTTTTTTATTAGGATTACATATACTGTATAGAATTACATATACAAGAAATTTTTCAATATACATATTTTTTGAACGATATAAAAATTCTTAAAAAGAATACACTTATGAGGGTTTTTGTACAGTATATGATTTTGTAATAAAATTTTTTAAAAAAATAAACAAAATAATCAATAAAAGTAGCTTATAATAAACTTGTTCTTAAATACTGTATTAAAATATATATTTAGATAGTTTAAATAATTGACTATTGAATTAGAATCAAATATACAGTATAAACGCCTTTTATTGTATTATAATATACATTTTTATTTATATTAATTTACTTTTAACTTAATTGTTGATTTCTTATATTAAATTTATAATAAAAAAAAAAAAGTTTTTTTCTTGCTATATTCGAAACCACGCTTTGGCGTAACGTAACATGAATTGCGCAATCATTATTTTTTTAGACGATGGTCGATGGTCAATGTTTTATTTTGAATATTGTCATATACAATATCTCGTGTCTTTTACATTCCAGGGCATATGTGTGTATATGTATAAAGTGAGGGTGGCTACTTTACTTTCTTTCTTGGTAACCAAAATATCAACAAAACGTTTATAGGTATTAGAATGTTTTATAAAAATAAAAGTCATTATTCTTTTATTATAAGAATGTTCTTTGCACAATTTTAGATTCATTCATAGTCACAACTATTGTTACATCGCACCTCGGATTAATTCAGAGTGACGCCTAAGTTTATTTTTTAGGAAAATAGTTACTCTTAAATAATGGGTCCTCGGCTCCCAAGTTTATCTTCATTGTTAAGAGATTCAATATAAAGATGAGTTGGCATCAGCTCTTCTTGTTCAATACGCAAAAAGTGCCATTACTCTATCTTAACGTTCCTTCTTCTTTCTTTCTTTCTTTCTTTAATAACCGTTTCACAAATTTATGAAAATGAATTCCGAGGCAAGGAAAAAATACTGTAATATCATGATGTTTGACGTCAAGATGCCGAATTGTGATGGTCTGGACAACCATTCCTGTGCCATTGACTATACGACGTCCCTAGAAAACAATAACAATGGCATTAGAACAAAAGACAATTTTATCTTTACCTCCTTTGTCGAACCCATGAGGGTACGGCCACAAACCCCCATCCGGAATGTAAGCGCAAATTCCGAGGTGGAAGCGAGTGAAGAAAGTGATAATTCAAAAATGAAAAATTTCAGCGACAACAAAAAGCATACGCCAAGGCCACCGAACGCCTTTATCCTTTATCGACGTGCGAAACAGTCCGAGGTGACAGCCGATAAAGGAAATATTTCCAACGCCATGATCTCTAAGATTCTATCAAGATTATGGAAAAATGAAAATGAGGAAGTAAAATTGTATTGGCGCAAATTAGCCGATAAAAAAAAAAGTTGAGCATATGGAAGCGTATCCCGAATACGTGTACCGTCCCAAAAAAAAAAAAATCAATAATATAAAGAAACGTCGCAAATCCGACTCTATTGAGTCTAATCTTTCTGCTCGCAAAACCATCACCCCAACACCTACCGCCACACTCATCTCTCCTCAAATTCCTTCTCCCACACCACCACAATCAACCGAAATCTATCATAACACAACAACGGTAGAAGAATTGCCTCTTAATAATGATTTTTTGTGGAACTCGTATGGTCCGCAATATGATGGGACCATTCCCATTCCCATTTCAACTATTTCAACTCAATATGATGAAATGTCGATGCAAAATATCTATGAGAACTTTCCGATCAATTATTTCACGGATGAAACTTATCCGTTTTACTATCAACCTTATGATGATATGCCTGGTTCTTATATCTAATATTAACCAAGATTTTTATGCTTTCATTTTATATGCTGTAAACTATATGAATTATTGTTATTCTATGATTAACATTCGTTTAGTCAAGCACGTATTTTATGATATGATTTCGAAATATTTCTTTTTTTTATTTTTAAATTCGTTATTAGTTATCTTTCACATTATTCGTCTATATTCAACATTATATTATCGTTTATCTTCGTTCGAAACAATAAATATATGTTCGCGTGACATTTTTTGTTTGTTAAAGTTCGATTAAGCTTAATCCTGTGTAACATCTGTGTCAACAATGTCCCAGTACTATTTCACATTTAGCGATTGTAATGATGCAATATTGAATTTTTATTCACGTAGGATTCCTTTATAAGTTGCATAGGTATCATTTTGAGACCAATCTATACTATTTTGTAGTTTCCCTTGAAAGTTTCTTGGTGTCGGTTGCAATTGTAACTTCATTGCGGTTTAGTTTAAAATGCACAGTACCTCAAGAAATAGTAAACAAATATATTAAGGGATTTTCAACGCCAACAAATCTATTGACAACAATAATGATGCCGTTCCATTGAACCAAGTTTGCTCCAGGTTCCTGCATGATTTTTCCGCCAAAGTCATTTTCACCTGACATTTCACCCGATCGTTTCCCCATTTGGCACCATGGTCACTCGGAGAAGGGTAACATAATACAATGTGATTGTTATCAATTCATAATTAATCTAATATCGGAGAAAACTTTTGAGAAATGAGTGGTTGTGGGTATTATCAAATACTGTACTACCTTTAATGATGCATTGGCTCATGAAGAATAAAAGGAAACAATTAAATAACTTTTGTTTATTTATTTAATGCGAGGCGAAGATAATCTTGATGGTTTTCCAATGATAGGGTATACTTTTGAAATAATTGCGCTTGTAAAAGAAACGAATCACAAAGACAATTCCTTTGATCATTATCGGTAAGATCTGACATGAAATAACTCGGGTACACATTAAATTGGACGTTTTGAATGAATGAAACAGCGTTTGACGGGATCTACAAAACAAAGATTTAAATAGACGAAAAGTGATTGATAAGAAAGCCATTATTTCTTTTTCTTTATAATTTTAAACTTCTTACCTGACCTGCTGATACGCACAACACAGATAACAATTCCTTTAAAACAAAAAAAATACAACCGGCAATTTTTCTTTTACTGTAAGTTATAATTTCTGAATAATAATTAAAAAAACAAAGTAATAAATTTATTAAATGAAATAAAGTTTTTTTACGTTTTTTTAATTTACTATAATTAAAATAATTAATTAAAAATAATAATTACGTCTATGTAAAACTCTAATAATAAACCCGGTTTTTTATGTGATAAATTTTATTTTTAAATAAAGGTGTGATAACCGTCTTGTCTCCTAATACATAAATACATACATACAGTACATACATATTTATTTATTTATTTAATATGATAAATTTTATTTATAAACTTTACTGTAATTAAAATCTATTTTTTTATATACCAAATAATAATAAAATAAGATGAAAACATAAATATATCAATATATAAAAAATAAGTTATACAGTATATTTTTAAAATATTTAAAATAATAATATTATTATATTAAACTATGATTAAACAAATCACAATTTAAAAATTTCGATTTTTCATTAATTTATAAATAATAATAATAATAATTAATATAAAAATTACTTAACTATAACTATAAAAAAATTTTTTTTATATAATTTATTTCAATAATTTATGGTTTACTATTAAAATACTATAATTATTTTATAATAAAATTGAACAATAAATTTTTTGATAATAGATCAATTTTTTTATTGTATTATAAAAACAATATTAAAAATAAATCCTTTTCAAATTTTTATTGATTAAAAAATAAAAACTATATGTTTTATATAAAATTAAATTTTTTAAATAATATATAATATACAGTGGATTATACATGTTGCTGAAATTCGTAGATTCTTGACGCAATTGACACAATTATTTGATACAATTAATTGAGTCACTATTAAAACATATAAATAATTGAGTCATGACA